CACAGACAACCTCTCGTCAATATGCGTTTTTCGCATTGCATTGCTGCAAAAAACGCATAACAATATACTAGACGGTCTTGCGTGTCCGTACTAAAATATAAGTCTATGTGAGAACTGAATTTAAATCCTAGACTCGCACTTGAGCAGAAAAACACTCTCCAAAAGTTTTAGCTTCCTGTTTTTTTTTTTTTTTTTGATCCTTAAGCCAGAAAATTCTCCGCCGGTATTTCCGCGTGTCTGTACGTAAGACCTAGGAATATGTGAAGAGTAAGTTTAATTTCGCAGGGTGGCAAATGGTAGGAAACATTCTTCTAAAATTTTGGTTTTCTAGCTTTTATGGTTGCTGAACTGAAAATCCTGGACAAAAAATTCGAACACACAGAAATACATAAATACCCACATGCAATCATATACACAAACACACACACATCCTGGACAATTATGCGTTTTGTGCCGTTGTGGTAGTGTAAAAGAAAATGACGTAAGGCTCAGACAAGGAGATATAGGTAATTTCCATTCTCGGGCCACACTTTTTTGCGCGTCCTATCCTTGCTGCGTGATTAATCTTCCTCAATTGACGACAGCGTGCGTTTGTTTGTGGGCTGATGCTCGTAAGGTACGAAGCCGGTTCTTACACGAATCGAATTTTGCAATTGTTTCACCCTCATTTTCATTTAGTCGATCATTTGACTTTTCAGCATTTTGCAGTAGTTTAGTCGGCAGGCTCACACTTGAAATTCCAGGATTAGATGGAAGAATGAGGAGGGGACGATCGAATTTAGCATTTTTTTTTCGCTGTGCAGTTAATTTTACGCCTGAATTCTTCACCTTTTGAGCTTAACTCTTCCTTTACTCAAATTTTCACTTCACCTGGACAACCTAACTGCCTCGATTCGTGGAACAGAGCGACAGACACAAAAGGTGCTTCGCTTCGACGCTTCATTGCTCCGTCAAAATAAGCTGCTACAAATCTCATTTGCGAACTACATTTGATATATTTTGTAGTGAAATTTTCGTGAAACTATTTGCCCCATCACTTTTCTGTCGCTAACATTAGATAGCCGGTCACATTCAGTTATATTTGCTCACTCCCATCCCCCTACTCGCTTTCATCCCCGTGGTCACTGCGGTCAGTTATGTCAATTTAGAGATGTCACTACTTCCTGACTATCGCTACTTTTGAAGTTTTTGGTTTGTCATGATTTCGATAGCCGCCAGATCGTTTTCTACTACTGGTAAGTATGCTGTGTAAAATTCAGCCCAAACACATTAATTTTCCACAAAGTAGCAGTGTGGCATATAGCATGCTAAATCTTATGGTATAAAATGGCATCGCTTCCAGGGTGCTAAATCTTTAAGGATCGAGAAGACTAAAAAATGAGCGATTTTTCTCAGGTAACAATCGGTGCAGTTATGCCTTTCGGTACATCCTTTATAAAATTTCCGTTTTTCTTAGTTTTTATAATAAAGTAGCTTCTAGCAAAGTAATTTCTAGAAAACTGTTTTAGACCTCACTTGTCTGTTCTCCACTATTGCGCATCATACACTTATGCCCATAGTCTCCTATGTGCAACGGATTCTTGCTTCCGCAATGTTCCTTTCTCATCATTATTTTCAGAAATTCTACTCTTTTTCTCAATTGCAGAAAGTGTCGGCGAATGATTTTTTTTCAACGTAAAAATTTAGTATTTCGTTCAACGTAAAAATTTTTTTAAAGAACTAATGTAAGCCTACTTTGTCGTGTTAGACGTTTCAGCAGACAGAAAACAATGTTGTTCGGACAGCTGTCTGCATAACATACTCGACTGTTACTTGAAACAGCAACTAGTTCTCTAGTGATTCATTATTCGTGTAGTCTACAACTGCGTCATTTCTCATTTCTTGTTCCATAGCTGTTTTGACCAATGCTGCATTGCCTGACGGTCAGCCTTCTAGTGGTCCTGACGTTCCTTTGGTCTCCTGAAGAAATGACCGCTTAATGGTTCTTTCGACAGACATCTTTGGAAACACTTAGTTATTCTGAAACTTCTTATTAAACAATATGTGTTTAGTTTAACCACCTCGCCTCCAAGCACTTCTCATTTCAGGGCACGTTAATCAAAAAAGGAAAAATCGATGCGGTGATTTACTTCCGGCATATTTCCCAAAAAATAGTTTTCTCCGGAATACTCTTTCATCAGCATCGCTGCTTTCTTCCATGTCCCAAATAGCATGTCGTCATCGGAAGCCCATCACCAGAAAATTGCCTCCGCAGCTAACTATTATATTTTCGTATTGGATTCATTGCGGATTCTACATGCCTCTATTATAATATTGCTTCCAAAGTGTCTCACTCGAGCGAGAGACAATACCGAGAGCCTTTTTGTAGCTTCTGATGGTTTGCCGTGCAGGCACAATCCTTTCTACTGAGTTGCATGTCAGTGACGAAACACGCCTGGAATAAGCAATTCTATTTTCGCTGAAGCCTTCCAAGAGTTAATTACTAGGATATTGCGGTACGCGTTGAGTTTTGCTTTCTAGCCTTTATACAGCAAATTTGGCGGCATGAATTTTTGCAGAAGACTTGGAATTACGCAGCACCGGATGATCTCTCAGTAAAAGTTGGCCATATTCACACCTTTATCAAATTTGTGCAGGATGACAGAGCTGCCCTCTCTCTAGCTTTGGAGTTTGAAAACTATTTTCTAAAGCATCATGACTAATCTTCTTTTGTTCCATTGCTTTGATTGGATGATATGTAATGGTGATGCACGAATTCAGCTTTAGCTGACTTTTGTGAAAAATATGTTCATAAAGCATCATCGCGTCAGCGGTATTTTTCATTATATTCAATATAGTGGTAGGGGAGCAAAGTCCCTAGTCTGAGCACTCAGAGCACTTTTTTCAGATGCATAAAATCACTAAGTTTGTTCGATTTCTCCATTTGAATTAGACATAAAGACTTTATCGAAGTGAGAGCAATTAAACGAAGAACAAAAGAGGGACCAACTATCCATTAGGCACGTCACGTATTTATTATTAAGATACCAGTACCGCCTTAACAGTAACCGTGAGCATCCCATGTTACTGATATAACTCTGAGCGCAGCTTTGCTGGGCCTTTCTTTCCTGGACTGCATATCTCTGGATTTATATCCACCGATGTTCAAAATATCGCTACCTCTTCGATAACCATTCGAGTAGTTGTTTACTTCCTCACGGATACCACTCGCTAATGTGCGTGACCCACCGTCTGCAGACAAAGCAAGCTACACGCCTTAGCCAGTAGATTTTACTTCCGTGAGCAACCATATCCTGTACGCAACAAACCTGATGGAAAGTTTGACTGTTTATATAGTCACGAAGAGGCGCTCCAAGTATCATTTGCACCGTCAGAGCCAGCATTCGCGCTGTTCTGTTTTCCCACTTCACAGCCGAATACATTGGAAGAAGCGCTCCGCGTCTGAAATCATCTCAATAACACTGCTAACGTGAAGTTCCTACAGCGACTGTTGCGGGGTCATGATACGCCTAAAATTCGTAAGCATAAAAGGCCAGTGTTCCTACGGTACTATAAAAAGGTGGAATACTTGCGGATGAAGTTTTTCAAAGTTGATCTGGAATTGGACTTGTGTTTTTCAAATGAGCTAGGAGCGTGTAGACATGCGTGTGCGTCAGTGGGTTTTCAAGAAAATTGTCGGATGGGAAGGCGCATTTCTAGCTGTGTCTGATGGATTAGGGAGAGTGAATATGCCCCTTTGGGCTAGCCACACCAAGCAACTAGGCCCTCTATCTGCGAAAAAAAGGCATAATATGGCTTTTGCGAACAAATTTTTCCAAATTTATGATTTTCGCCTTCGATCATTAAAATTTCGTTGTGTTCGTTCTCGGATGCACGCCGCATCACTGTGTTTGCTTGTTGCCTTTTCTGTGCCTCGTTGATGTGATCAGATCTAGTGCACGTTTTCCCCCTTTGGTACATTGGTCTCTGTTTGCATTGCAGTCAGAAAACGTATTTTTTGATTTTTTTTTT